GGGCTGGGCAGTGAACCCGCAGACAATTCAAGGCACTGCAGTGACGGTTTGGGAATTGCTTGTTCGGGTAAGACATGCATTGTCTCAGCAGCTGTGTTTGAGAAGGTGCAACCTATCTGACCCCTGGAAGAGATGCCAGCCTTTGTAGGGGCTTGGGGAGGGCTTTTATTCCCCACCTGGCATAGTGTATGCATCCGTTTTACTACCTGGTAAAGAAAAGGCCTGTGTGGGACTGTGGATCAGGGCAGCAAGCGGCCGTTGAGAAGCCAAAATACCAGGGAAGCAGATTAAAGCTCCGCGCATCTCCCGAGCGGAGCTGCCGTTTGAGTCTGATGGATCTGTGACTCCCGGAAGTATGGGTAGGACCCTGTGGCAGGAACAACAGGAGAAGAGAGTTCCCCTAGGATTTTGCTCCCAGTTCTGGAAGGGGGCAGAAGCCAAGTAGCCCTCCAGAGAGCAAAAGACCCTGGCAGTCTACCTCACGCTTCTCCAGGTGGAGCATCCCAGGAGGAAACAGCATGTTGTAGTAGCTTCCCTGCCCATCAAGGGGTGCGTTGAGAAGATGTTCCATGGATCTCCGCAAACTCCCAGGGTGACGAAGTGGCAGCCGGTCTGCAGCAGAGAAGCCCCTGTCTGCCTGTCCACTGTCTCTAGAAATGCGGGTGCTCTTAGGCCCCGTAGAGCCTGTAGATCCCCTATTTTTGTGGCGGTCTCTGCAGCCTGTAGAGAGGAAGTGGGGACATTTCCGCTGAAGCCTGGCATACAGATGGGTCTAGTCGGGGCAACCCAACCACAGGGGTTTCAGTTGCTCTTCGGCCCAACAATGACACCATCTAGGTGGAAACTGGAAGGGACTGCAGCAGCCGGTGGGCTAGACTCAGACCTGCTGAGCTGGGCATCACCCCTGAGCCCTGGCCGTTAACCCTTGGCCCCAACAGCTGGGCTGTTCTCTAGGGCTTGACCTGATGGTGTGGACAAGGGGAAGCCTAGGGGTGGATGGTCATGAATAAGCCCTTGGGGGCTCAGGACGTGCGGAGGGACTTTTATGTTCACCAGCAAGAACCTGAGGCCGTCGGCACTGTCTTCCACATCCTGGTCTGTGAGGGCCTGACCCACTAGGCCATCAGGAGGCGATGGTCCAGCTCAGTATGAGCCCTAAAAACTGATCCTTCAGGAGATGCACCAGATGGGCTGCACAGAAAGAGGGGCCACTCGCTGCCTATACGTGTCCCCATCCACCCCTTCCTGGGCAGTCCCCAAGGAGGCCGAGTTGCCCTTGAAATACAGTGACTGGTTCACGCAGTAGCAGCGTGTCCTGTGTGTTCTAAACAACCCCAAGGCGGCTGCCAAAGGAGTCTGGGGCCATCCAGCGGAGGAGTTCCCGACAGTTGAGGGATTGGCAAGTTGATCGTATCGGTCCCCTCCGTCCAAGCGAGCATTTTAAATATGCCTCAGCTTGTGAGGACACTGTGTCTGGCTTAACCCGAACTTTCCCTTTTTCCACTCAGACCAGGCAATTGTTTTTCACCCATTAGGCAATTAGAGAAACTGAATGCCCTGTATGGACGCCATCGTCGGATAGCGATCAGGGGTCATGTTCAAAGGTCATGATGTGCAAGACTGGGTAAAATAACATGGTATCGGATGGAGGTTCCTTCTCTCCTATAACTCACGAGCAGCAGGATTGATAGAAGGGAAAAATGGAATGTTAAAGCAGCAGGTTAAATTACTAACAAGTAAAACAGCGTAGCCAGGGGGACTAAGTTACCACTTCGGCTTTGATACATTTGAGCAACCAATCAGTGGGGCCTGTTGCCCCATATTCCAGACTGGGGACCCCTGCCAAAGCACCCAGTACTGTAAAGGTACAGAAATGGTGGAAACACTGGGGATCAGCATGCTGTGGGCTGAGAACACCAAGCCCCATCACACCTGGGACAGGTGCAGCTCCTGGGATTTGCGATGGGATATCCCACAGGGATGGGTGGGTTACCTCACACCCCTGGGTGAGGGGGAACCACTCAGTCTCCACTGGGACCTCATCGTCCTGCTGCCAGATGGGACAGTGGAAACGCACCACACCTGGGATGGAAGGTGCACCCCTGAGTGAGGGGAGAAGTTGGGGCCCTGGTCTGGCATCTTTGGCCCCCAGTCTATCTCCTCACGGCTAATAGTGCCCGTCCCCTGGCCAGTGTGTGTGGTAATGCACAACCAGGTCACGTTCTGAAGGAGCCAGAGGGCACGCTCTGTTTCCCACTGGAACCGCCCTTCGGCTGCAGGACATCATAGCTCACACAGAAGCCCCGACTGCATTCACCTAGCAAGCCTTGAACGAAGCCAACAAGGCTGTCTTTACTGAACACTGAAGTGCCTCTAATGAGGAGGGCTGTCCTCCCAGACAGGATGGCCTTGGACATCGTCCCTGCCTCACAAGGAAGGATCGTCCAGACAGTGCTGTGTGTTCACACCCGATGAGTCTGCTGATGTGTCATCTTTAACCAGTCACAGGAGGACACGAATGAAAGTCCTGCGTGATCAGACCCCAGCCTAGAGGACTCCATAAACCAGTGGTTCGAATCCCAGGGCTCTTGGTGGAAACAAATTGTTATGGTTTTGAGAATCATCTTGAACTGTGTCTTCTCTTGCCTGTACCTGTGTTACTGCAGAGGTCTCTGCCTGCAACGCAGTCAGATGGCCGCCTGGAGTCACCTCCAGGCTCAAAAGACCCCTTGCAGACCCGCTCAGGGCACACTGCAAAAGTGAGGTCATGTGAGATTGTAAGAGCCTGTCTCAAGGGGTGGGGTGTTGGAGGAGGTCACCAGGAGGTCATGGCAGCTGGTCCACCTGCCAGGTGGACCTGAGTGATGGGAGGCGCCTCACCCTTCCCCTGTCCTTGGAAGGGACATCCGCCACCCATTCCCAAGGTGGGAACCAGTTTCAAGGATGCAGACTTGAGAGAGTAAAGTGATGTTGAGACTGTCTGGGCTGAATAGTGACTTAACAGGGTCCCTGTTAAGGTCTCTTTATAAACTTTTAAGATTCAGGCATATGGGTGCAGAGATCAAGTTGTCTTGCAGGACAAGCCTCATGTGTAAGTTCCCTGCATATTAAACCCACCCCCTGCCCATCCAGAGGGTCTGCCTCTCTCCTGCTCTCCTTGCCCTCCATGTTTCGGGGTGGAGTAGGGGGCTGGCTTGTGAACCAACAGGTAATCAGAGAGAGCTTTGCATATTCAGAGTTTACACAAGAACATCTCCAGGTTTCATGGCAAAGTTTATTTTGAAATGATCTATTTTGATCTGAAGGTGATGTTTATTATAAATTGGTGTTCTCTAAATCTGTAAGATTTCTACGATTGCTCAGCACTGATCATTGGAAATGCATGGCTGAGACAAAACATGGGTTTTGTATTTTAAAGTTATTTGGTTATTTAAAACTTCCCATTCACAGCTGAGTTTGGGAAAATTTCTAATTAGAAAAGCAATATTGATCAGAAAAAAATGCATGAGGTTTTTTAGTATTGCTATTATAACCCCCAAATTGTTTTATTCCATTTTCTTCTATTTTTATATTTTCTGTTAACTTTTCCATCTTTTCTTTCTTGTCATCCTCCTTTAAAATTTTTTCCTTTTTATTCTTAATATTTTATATAAACTCACCATCATCCTTTGTTTATTCCTCTGTTGTTTTCCTGAACTCACCACTATTATGAACAATTTTTTAAAAAAAATATACAGATAATAGTCACCTGATCTGGAAAATCTTTCTTCTGATTTAACTACCTTTTTTAATATTAAGTCCATTTTTATTCTTTCAAAACAAGTGGATCCTTTATAAGCTATGAAGATGGATCAAAGGTAGATAATGTTTTCATAAGCACAGTCGTTGTACTGTTTTAAAATAAGAGGTAAGACCTTTTATTTGCCTTGGAAAGGCTCTTAGGGTAAAATTTCCTCACTGAAATTATTCATCTTTTGTTTTAAATGGAAACTTTCAAAAGTGTTCTCTTTATTCTGTTGATGTTTTATTTATTTCCAAAAATGAACCAAATAAAAGGAAATGTGATGTGTGGTATGTGAATATGAAAACATTTATTTTACATTATTTTGACTGTTAAGATTGTGAAAATACATTTCATTCAAAACATTTTTTGTTTATGACCAAAATAAACACCATAAAGAGAGAAGTAGCTTCAGCTATGCACACAGAAATCATTTTCAAGGTGACATTAGAATATATTGAATTTTACTAAAGCATAAAACATATTGTGACTACAGTTGTTGACTTTGTGATAATTTCAACTATAAGCATAACCACACACCATAATTTGACAGAAATCTAGGTGGTAGGCAGTATTTAATACTTGTTAGGACCACAATGTTGGTCTTAATAGAACTGGTCCAAGTCCTGACTTGGCCCCTGTGGTTTCATTCAAGTTATTTTACTTCTCTGGGCCTTCAATTAATTAGCAGAAAAATGAAGGTTTACAACTGAAGACTATATAAAGACTGAAGGATCTTCTATACAGAGTATCCAACTTAGTACCTGGGACACAGTGAGCATTCAATAAATGCTTGCTAATGTTGTCACCAGGCCATTCAAATATACTCGATCAAAACAAGTAAAATTGTACAAATCACAAACAAAAGTATTGCCATGATACAAAATCAATACTACTACTATTTACAGGTGGGGCAAGTGAAAACAACTAGGCATTTATGCTCGGTCGAGGTGGTACACTAAATTATTAACGTCTCTGGGTGAAATCAAATTGGAAATGGTAGGTGCTGTGTGAGACACATGCTCTTATTTTTAAAACGGAGAAAGGTTTTAAAATGTGTGTTCATCTGGTCACCAGCAACAGCTTCCTTTTCAGTAGACTGAGGAAGACCACTTATTCGAGTGTTCTTTGATTGCCTGTGATGTGCGTGGCTGTGTTTACCTGCCATGCGAAAGGAAATACCTCCTTTTTATGCTCTGAATACTTTCCTTTTCCACAGACATTTCCACTGGGCCTGGGAGATGGGCAATTCTATGCATGGACAGATGGTTTAAGAAGAAAGGACTGGCATGACTATGGGAGCATTCAGAAAGAGGCTATGCGCTCAGGTATGGAGTTCAGTGTACCCCAAAGTGCTACTTTGCTTTGTCACTTACAGGATCTCTCAGTAGTGTTTCTTCTGCACCCAGTAAGGTAGGTTTCATGGGGACATTGGATGTCAACTCTGGGCAGAACCAAAACAATTTCAAATTTCAGAGAGAGAAAAAAATAATGAATACCGTTTATAATATGAGCTGAACAGAGGTCATTTGAGTTTTAGAAATCTGCCGTGCTTTATACTTCCAGAGTGTCTTTCAGTCTTTTCTGTGGGTATCTTGGATTTATTCATGAGACTTGACTTGGAACACATGTTATCTTGAGCTAGATTCGCTCCTTAGGGCTGTGGTATATCTAACTGGCTGGGCCAAGGATGGAAGGAGGACCGCAGTTCTAGACACTTGGTAGGTGGATCAGGAGAGCCAGGGACCTGAAGTTGGCCATACCTGGGCAAACGAACAGGCAGTTCAGTGGGATCCAGTAGGTCTGCTATGCATAGCAGATTCTAGTCTTAGGCTAGGGTTAGAGGAAACATTTTACTTCTTGGAAAAGTAACAGGAAAAATTATGTCCTTCTAGGAGGACTTAGGTTGTTGGAAACCGGGATTCAGAAGGGTATAGATGTAATAACCGAGTGAAGGTAATAACCTTCACTGATGATAGGAAGTCCATATTCTATTATTCAACCAAAGGAGCTCTGTTGGGTTTTTTGTTTGTTTTGTTTTGGTTTTTGGTTTTTTTTGTCATGGTGAGGATATCACAGAAATTGAGAAGCTATGGTTTGGTAAAGACATCTTAGCAACACGGAAATGGTGCATCCCAGGTCAAATCAGCAGCAGAATCACGAGTAGCCCCAGGCTGAGGTTCTCCTGGCCAGCCTTCCTCCTGACTTCTCTCCCCAGGAAGACAGGAGTGAGATATTCAGATAGTTATGACAGTGTTCAGGGCTTTGGTTGTTCTCAGCTCTGGATCAGGTGTGCTTGACTTAATTAGAGTCTTCCATTTTCTTCTTTCATTCCTTTCCTCCAAATAAGACTGTCCCCTACCCCCCTGCTTGTCATAAGAATGTTCCGTGTCCCTCAGAGCATCAGCCTCTTCCATATGACATCATCCCTCCAACCTTGGCATGACTCCGTGAACAGTGACAAAGGCAAGCTCCTTACCAGAATCCTTACGTTTCCAGTCCTCTGATCTTTTTTCTCTATCTGCTTGATCAGCCCTGTACTCATCCAACCATCTGTTTCTTTTTTTAACCACAAGATGCTGAAAGTTTGGGGAGATGTTCTCATAATCTAACCACAAGTTAGTAATAATAATACAAATAGTAATAATTGAATAGATGTTTTGTACTAGGAGCTTTGTGTATGTATTTTATTTAAATTTCACAATAACTTTGATAGATAGGTATTATAATCCCCAATTTGTAGAAAGAAAAAAGGAAAGAAAAAGAAATGAGTTCTTAAGAATTCATGAAATATTATCCAAGGTCAAACAGCCAATAATTTGTAGAGAGAGATTGAAAGGTCGTCTTATGCTCCATTACACCCCACTATCAGACATCGAATGATAATATTTGGGCAAAATGAAGTAATGGCAAGAGAACATACGGGAGAGAGACACACCTGGGTTCATATCCTAGCTTTTCTGTGTAAGTGGCAAGTCAATTTGTCTGTCTGATGTTCTACTTTGCAGAATTGCTATAAGAATCAAAGATACTATAAAGTAATTGGCCAATTATTTGCACATATTATAAACTCCACCAATGATAACTGTAATTATTTTTCCATCTAAGTTACTTTCACTTGATTTGATGTGCCTATCCTTTGCTTGTGCCAGTGAGTTTTGGACACAAAATCCAACACTTCACATTTATTTCTGCTACGTACTACCCTTTCTGCCTCCTGGAAAAATGTACCTTTAATTTTCTCATCAGAGCTCAGGGCAAGGGAAATTGACCTACAAAGAAAATTGGTGATAAAACAAGTTTCCTAAAGAACAAATTTTGTGTGCAGTTAAAATACTTTTAAATGCTAGTATGTATGATTCACTGGAAGATACATGAAAAGTGCAATAGACTATACTTTATCATTTTTAAAAAATACCGTAGAATATAACCTAAATAAAATATGCACACACAAACGCACTTGCAGTTATAAAGTCAAAATAAGATAAACGTCTCTGTTCCCAATAAGCAGGCCAAGAAAAAGGGTCCTTGGTACTATTCTGTCTCCTCCAAGTCTTGAAATTTGTGTTCACTCTTACTTTTCTCTGTAATTTCTTATGTCTAAACAAATATTGTTGCATTTTGCCTATGTTTGGACTTTATCTAAACATTGAATCATATAGTATGGTTTCTTTCATTCAAAATTATTTTTGAGATCCATTCTTGTGTGTGCACTTCTAGTTGATTTGTTGTAACTGTTGTTTAATTTTCTTTATTTTTTATATAAACTTTTCAAATCTTTAAACTCCTAGGTTTTTTAAAACATGTATTATGACAGTGGTCTCATTGTACCATTCTATCCCCTCCCTTCACCCGAACTAAATATAAAATCATTTTTACCAGTAAAGCAGATAACTTTTAATGAAATGGGTGAACTCCAAAATGGAAATTATAAGACTTCAAAAGATTATTTTTTTCCCCACCACCATCCTCCCCCCACCCCCCTGCTTTCCCCCCTTGGTGTCCATACATTTGTTCTCTACATCTGTGTCTCTATTTCTGCGTTGCAAACCAGTTCATCTGTACCATTTTTCTAGGTTCCACATAATATGCATTAACATACAATATTTGTTTTTCTTTTTCTGACTTACTTCCCTCTGTATGACAGTCACTAGGTCCATGAACGTCTCTACAAATAACCCAATTTCGTTGCTTTTTATGGCTGAGTAATATTCCATTGTATATATGTACCACATCTTCTTTATCCATTCATCTGTCGATGGGCATTTAGGTTGCTTCCGTGACCTGGCTATTGTAAATAGTGCTGCAATGAACATTGGGGTGCATGTGTCTTTTTGAATTATGGTTTTCTCTGGGTGTATGTCCTGTTGTTTAATTTTCCACAATGGTTTCCACTTTGTAAACATTCTGAGAGTTCCCAGGTTTGGGTTATGTATGACGCTGCTCTAAGTGTTTTTGCGCATGGTTCTGGGATAGAGACAATATTTTCTTAGGGTACATATTTAATAGTAGAATTTGCACGTCTGAGGAATGCACGTTTCAGTTATATTATGTGGTACGTGACAAACTGTTTTTCAAAGTTGATATGCTTATTTCACTCCAATCAGTAATGGATGGAATTCCCATTGCTCTGCATCCTGTCAACACTTAATATTACTGTCTGATTTTTCATTTTTCTCAATTTTGTAGTATGAAATAATCACTCATTGTCACATAAATTTGCATATTACTAATTTTAATGTAGTTGATCTCTTATTTATGCTTGTGGGCCATTTGTGCTTTCTCTTAGGTAAAAGTCCTATTCATTTCTATTTCCAGTTTTTTGATTTCTTTTTCTTATTGATCCACAGAGTGCTCTTAATTTTTTTGAATAATGGCCTTCATCAGTTGTACATGGTGAAAATATCTTATCCCACATTTTGTATATTTTTTTTAAAAACTGTATATATTGCCTAATGAGTAGAAGTTCTTAATTTTGTTTTAGTCAAATTTACAAATAATTTTTAAACGATAAGCTTAATTGCTGTTCTACATTGTCTTTTTAAGCTTGAGAATTTTACCTTTTACATTTAGGTCTTAAATGCAGCTCATCTTCATTTTTATATCATGTGAGGTAGGGGCCCAATATTTATTTGGGTTTTACCTAGTTAGATATCCAATCAACAGCACCATTTATTAGAAAATGTATCTTTTCCCACATCGATCAGCAGTGTTGACTCTATTATAAAAAGTTTCCATATTTGTGTGTTCTCATTCTGGTTTCTCAGTTCTGTTCCGTGAGTGAAAAACTTTGAGCTAATGAAATAATATCTTATGTATTATATCTTTATAACAATTGTGGATATCTGGTAAAGTTCATTCTGCTTTCTTTGCTTTTCTTCTTGGGAATGTTTTGCCAATCTTTTTTTTTTTTTTTTTTTTTTTTGCGGTACGCGAGCCTCTCACTGTTGTGGCCTCTCCTGTTGCGGAGCTCAGGCTCAGCGGCCATGGCTCACGGGCCCAGCCGCATGTGGGATCTTCCCTGACTGGGGCACGAACCCGTGTCCCCTGAATCGGCAGGCAGACTCTCAATCACTGTGCCACCAGGGAAACCCTGCCAATCTTAACATTAGGATTTTCTTTAAACTTTTAGATTCAACTTGTCAGACTTCATGCACAATATGCACATACACACAGAATATTGGAATTTTAGAATTGTATTAAGTCTGTTGATAAATTAGGGAATAATTTACATTTTTTCCAATATTAAATTATTCATTCCATGGTATATCATTATATTTCTTGGTGCTTATTTGTTGTCTTTAGGGGTGTGTTTGTAATTTGATTCTCAGACATTTTCAGTGTTATTCCTAGAATACTAACATTATATGGGTATTGAGCATGTTGTTGATCTTATTGAAGTTCTGAACTATTTGTAGCTGGTATAGAGAAAGGTTAATCATTTTTAAATATAAACCCAAATTTAGAAAACATTCTAAACTCTTTTATGAATTATAATCATTTACCCTTAAGTTATTTTGGATTGTTAGTGTAGATACTCATAATATCTATAAGTAGTGACAGTGTTCAAAATTTTTTCCATCCTAGACCTTATAATTTTAGTTATTTTTACTCTGTTTCTGCACTGGCTAGGAACTCGAGTATCATGTTGTCCAGTGGGTATTGGTGGCTGCTTTTGATTTGTTAAGGTTCTGACAATAGCAAATTAGATATTTGTGTTAGCATTTAATCTACTTAATGAAAATGTACTGTACACTGTTCACTAGGCCTTCTGGATATGACTTTCTGAGAGTTTTACTCTTTTTACATCTAAATGAATGTTGATTTT